AATAGGAATAGCATGAATCCGTATGACAATAAATAATACGGGGTAATAATGATGATAATAATACATTATAAGAAAAGTTATCTGATTAATAAGAAAATAATACATATAAGGAAATAATAACAAAGAATTAAAAATATGTAAATATTGGCGCAGAAAGTTACGGCAGTAACACCGGACACGATCTATCTAATTTATTAAGGATCGTGCCCGGTACAAACTATAAGTGTAACTCTGTAGTGCCTTTTTCCTTGGCAACACTTATATAGCACTACCAATACCCGTGAACTGAAGTGATCAGATTGGCCAATTTGATCTCTGATTGTAATCATTGGCACCAAAAAAAAATTATAGTAAAATCCGAAATAGTGACACATGAAAACAACGGCAATAACAAATGTATCGACCAACTGATTATTGGAATTTTATTAGTAACTAACATCTCTATAATTCATAGCTTTATAATTTATTATTTAAAGGTCCTTTTCCTGCCTTTATGAAAAAAAATCAAATTCATTATATCTGAAAAAAGCACTCATGTCTAATCGAGCACTCGGGCCTTTTCCTACTCCTTAGGCCTATCACCCAATTATTCAGGGGCTGATGAACATGATTAAACGCAATGACTGGGAGAGCAAATTTGCGAAGGCGGTCTCTGATGCCCACAAGACAGGTGTTGAAGACATGACTACTATAGTAACTTTGAACGACTACTATAATTTTCTTCAATACTTGGTGATGTGGGTACCCAGAGAGGATGAAACAGGGTCTCTTGTTTACAATATGCTTTGCACGATGTACTTTGTTCTCGATCAGGAATCTGTCAAACCGCTCCAGTCACCCATTAAGCCTTCGTCGTATCCACCAGAGCCGTTGTCGGAGCTATCGCAATGGATAGTCTACTTTGCCTGTATGATGGGACAATTTCTCAATACACCTCAATCACTTACTGAAGAATCTCTGAAGACTTTTTATGAGACGAAAGAATATCACATGAATATTTATGAGGCTCCCCGAGATGGCTGGCGTTGTTTCAACGACTTCTTCGCACGAAAAGTATTGCCCGGAGCCCGACCCATCGACTCCCCTTCTGATCCAAGGATTATTGTGAGTGCTGCAGATTCGGAGTTCGATGGCTCTTGGAAAATCGATGAAAATGCAATTGTCACTTTAAAAACCATCCGCTGGACTATTCGCGAGTTACTTGCAGACAGTAAGTACTCAGATGAATTTGCCGGAGGCAAATTTATGCACGCATTTCTTGGACCATCCGACTATCACCGTCAACATGCTCCTGTCGATGGCACAATTCTCGAAGCTAAAGTCATTCCAGGACAGGCCTATCTCGAAGTTATTGTTAAAAAAGACTCCAAGAACAAACTGGTACTAATACCTGGTCGAAGAATAGGAACGGATCAGCCAAAAGCTGAGGTCGATGCTCCGGACTCTCCAGGGTATCAATTCTGTCAGGCGCGCGGTCTGTTTGTAATCCAATCACCGAAAATTGGATATGTGGCTGTTTTACCAATTGGTATGGCTCAGGTGTCTTCTGTGATCCTCACCAAGAAGGAAGGGGATGAAGTAAAGAAAGGAGATGAGATATCTTATTTTCAGTTTGGTGGATCTGACATTGTCCTTTTGTTCCAGAAAAATGTTGAAATAACTGCTGAACATAAACATTATAAAGTGGGTCAGAAGATTGCAGTTGCCAATATTGCTAATTAATCATGAAATTAGAATATGCAAGTTTTTTACATTAAATTATTATAAAATTCTACAACCTTCTGTCATTCTACACATATGTAAAGCTATGAACTATATAATCTAAATAAAGCAATATTCTATAAAACCAGATATAAATTATCATTATTTTTGAATGTGGTTTGATAATATAGATGGTAAGTTAGTCAAAATCTTAGAGGTTTGTAGAGTTTGGATCCACGAATATTCACGGATAAAGTGAA